GATGGCCTTTGTCTCTTCTTGACAGCTGAGTCCAATGTTCCACTTGGATTACGTGGAGAGAAAAACAAAGGCCAATTACAGCACATTTCAGGTAAAGAGAGAGAGAACTTTTGCTTGTGTGTGAGAGGTCATGCAAAGCTGCTCCCCTACCTCAGACTGCTGCCCGACCAGAAATCAAAATCTGGTTGTGAGTTTCTTAAAATATAAGATACATATGTACTTTATTCTTTAAACATAAAAACAAATACCACTTCAATTTTTTTTTTTTTTCAATTTTATTTATATAGCGCCACATCACAACAACAGTTGTCTCACAGCGCTTTCCAAACAGAGCAGGTCAGACCCTACTCTGAAGTTAACTACAGAAACCCAACAATTCCCACCATGAGCAAGCACTAGGCGACACAGGCAAGGAAAAACTTCCTTTTAACAGGCAGAAACCTTGAGCAGAACCATGGCTCAGGGTGGGCGGCCATCTGCCTCGGCCGGTTGGGGGTGAGGGGAAAGAGAGAGCAAGAGAGAGAGAGAGGGCGAGAGAAGGACAGAAGGAGCAGAGAGGGGCAGCCAACACAGCAACACGTAGAATAGATTAAAAATGGCAATGATATTAATGCTAATGATGAGCAGGAACATGGGGGCAGCAGGAAACTCCCAACCACAGATCCAGACTCCACAGCTCTAGGAACACCTGCAGGAAGTGATAGGAGGAGACTCCCAACCACAGATCCAGACCCCACAGCTCCAGAGCCAGGAATATCTGCAGAAAGTGTTAGGAAGAGAGAGAAGAGAGAAGGGGGACGAGAAAGCACACGACTACGGGGAAGGGAGAGAGTCCAGTTAGTAACATTGTTAATGGAATGAGGTTGCACCGGGAGGGAGAGAGAGAAAGGAAAGGGGAGCTCGGTGCATCATGATGCATCCCCCGGCAGTCTAGGCCTATAGCAGCACAACCAGGGGTGGACTTACTCTAACTATAAGCTCTATCATAAAGGAAAGTCTTAAGCCTACTCTTAAATATAGAGACGGTGTCTGCTTCCCGGACCCAAACTGGAACCTGGTTCCACAAAAGAGGACTCTGATAGCCGAACGCTCTAGCGCCCATTCTAGATTTCAAGACTCTAGGAACTGCCAGTAACCCTTCATTCTGGGAGCGCAGTTCTCTGGTAGGGCAGTAAGGTACTAAAAGCTCTTTAAGATAAGATGGGGCCTGACCATGAAGAGCTTTATACGTAAGGAGAAGGATTTTAAATTCTATTCTGGATTTAACAGTTGGCCTACAAAAATAACTGAAAGCCTTTGGGGTAATTTGGTTTCCCTCTGTACACCGGATCAGATAAGCTGTCCCTCCTGTTCACTCAATTGGACTCTAAAGATAGATATAAATATGATTAACTAGGAATTATATGAAGATGGAAATCTGCAGGTACAAATATCTTGAGATATGTCAATACTTGGCCTCCACCACAAATAGGAAGAGATGTTCGATGCAGGTACGCAGATGTAGATGGAAAAACATCCCCTAATTTGTTTTGGTGCTTTGAGGTGCTTCCTATCCAAGGTTTCTGCAACGTACAATGGCAATACAAAAAAAACGGACACATGCTTCTGTATCTTGAACAAACTTAGAACAGCCAGAACCAACCAGACTGAGAAATAAGCAAATCGCTTATACCACAAATGCAACAGCACAATTTGTGATCTCCAGGCACAGAACTGGTATATTTCTCTTCTGGGTTCAGCAACAGCTTGTTCACATCAGCATGACGCAACCTGTGTGTGTGACTTCACATGCCGGTATTGTCCCGTGAGCTATCCCTTTAGTCTGGGCGGGAACCAAACAGATGGAGGACTAGACTAAACATCTTGAATGACAAGATATCATCACGCCTCGCTTCAGGAATTTGGGGTCCTCTGTCACATGCTGGCTGCTCGCCACATTCAGCTAATTTGCTCTCTGATTTTGAGTCGTGAGCTCATCTGAGACTCAGAATCCACCCTGACAAGGAAAGACATCATCCATTTCTCAGGATGCGAAGGCTGTAAGCTTTATCTAGGATAATGCCATCTACTGTCAGTTCTCATTAAAAGGATTTTGTCAGTCAAACAGAGCAAACCTTCACATTAAAATGCAAAAACTTGGGGAGAACAGGAAAAGGGGAAAAGGAAAGTTAGAAAGGATATAAATAATCCAACATGGCTGCATTTCATGAAAATTAGCTAGTATTAATTAAACTGGTTGTGATCACTCGTAATATATAAGAAAGAAGCTTGAGACATCAGGTATGACGACATCAGATTTCCTATTTGGATAATTTTCAACAATCCTTATTTGCCTTTTGTAATGTAGATTTTCTGTCAGTAATGGGCTGTTTGACTTATTACTGTTGATTATAAAGTTGTCAATACTACTATTAGTCTTTGAAATCTTTGTAAAACTACGAAAGTCTAAATAGTATTGATACCAATAATGATGCCCTTGATCATGTGAATGTTTTAATACTGTTTCATACATCCATCAAAATGCACCATGTGCTGATCAAATGCGTGATGGCCTAAACCAGGATGGGTGTTCATAAAAATGAGAACAAAGCAAATAAATTTATACGTAAATAAACAGCACTCCAACAGGAATAACTTCTACCATTGCGACTACAGCAGAGCAAGGCAAAGGACCAAAATCAGCACCATCAAAAAACTCAGACCATCCGATATTTCAGACTGTCCCACATAATTCTGGTACTGGTAACATTCTTAAAGAGTTCCTGATCAGATCAGCAGTTTTTTGCCTCACCCATATCGACATCTGAGACCCAGTAAGATGCTCCACACTGGAAGCGTACGTCTCTGTGGGGCACCAACGCAGAACGGCACTTTGCCTGAGGGAGGTTTCCAATTTGAAACAGGATCTGGAACAGATGGGGCGTTATACATCATTTATCACTGGTGGCGTGTTCCCACTGTATCACATCCGAGGTAGACCACAGCAGAGCCTCAGAGTTTCTGATTGGGAATTCTGGACCCCAATGGGATGCAATCGAGAGGATTAACGGGCCTCAAACATTTACAGTATAAAACAACTGACAGGGAACTTTTGAAACACTTTTCACAGAACTTATGTCTGCCGTCATACCTCCAGCTGATCCACTAGCACCTCTCCCTTCTCGTTTATCTCCAGAATCAAACTGAACATGGATTTCTTGATCTAACGGACCAACGCACGGTTCTTATCAACCAGAAGAAGCCTGCAAAGAATGCAATAATATGATCAATAGGGAACTCCTCCAAAACCTCACTGTTGCTGAATGTTGTACATACTGAGGCCCAAACACAGCCCACAATAATTTAAAGTGCAGATGTAGGGTGACACTTGACCCATCTTTTGGATGCAATTTGGAGGATGCAGGATATTTTTCCATTTTTTAAAAACATTTTTTGGGGGTAACACATCTGTCTTAATTCCAGAGGGGAACAACTTGTCCATGTTGCCAGCAAATATTAAATGTTGTTTCTGTATGGCAAAAAAAGGGGAGATCTTCTTGTTTCAGACTCAGTTTCAAATAATTGAAATATAATTGGTAAATTTGTCTACCACATGTCATTTTCTGTGTTGCACCTTTTGTATTTGGCACTTCTGGGCCACGGAATTAATTAGTTGCATTTTTTTTTTTTAAACAGACGTGACCTGAAGATACAATCTTCTTTGGAAATAATCCGAATTTTCACAGTCAGATACATGGTATACTGTCTTGGGGTTTCACCTCGCTGGCTCTGCACTGGGCCTTCGACCCGTTAGAGGTTTTAAAACTTATTCTGGCTGTGTCGTGCACATATCGGCTATGCACTTTCTCTAGTATTGATAAAAGAGGATCAATCAGAGGATCATCCACGTACAGACTAGAGTGGAGGGCCCTGCTAGTGAGGCAGCCATTTCTCCTGGAAATAGGAACAAGACTGCCCCCGCATGGTTGCGCACCCCGTTACCAACCTGGGCTTTTCTCTCCACCGTGGGACCCCCTACGGGGGGGGGAAATACATTATCCATCACTTAAACTGCCAAAAAGCTCCTGCCTGCACATCAGATTGCGTTTACAAAAAATAAAAAGACAGTTGTGAACGCAAACCAGGCAAACTGTACCCGTTTATGTGGCAAATTGGGCATCTAAAGACATCTTTACGATCCGCTTGAGCATAACTGATGTCAGAATCCTGCAGGGCGAGGGTAAACGACTCTTGCAGAAGGAGTGCAGACAGAGAAGAAGTTCGGGCTCTTCTTTGGAAAAGCTGAGGCTGCAAACGAAGCATGCGTCCATGCGAGCCGAGACGCGCGCGCAGGACTTCGCCTCCTGCACGCTCTCTGCTTCGTTCCCGACAAAGATGACACCGGACCGACCAGGCTCCTGCTGTCCATCTGATAGGACATCCGTTTTCCGTGACCGGACAGCGCCGTCAAGATGCGCCGTCAAACTGTCACCCGTTTTTTTTTTTTTTTTTCAACGCGCGTCCTAACGCGTCAAACTGAGAGCTGGGGGACAAATTACCTCCTGCAAGACTCTCTGTTTGGACGGACACCCTAACATAGCACTTTTTTTTTTTTTTACTTTTTGCGTTCCCAGCACAGCTTGAACATCTTTATATTGCAGACCGATCTTAAAATAAAACCTTATAAACTTCTCCACGGGGTGTGGGCGCAAAACTATTAGGCTTCAACCTGCTCGTTTAAAGGAAAGAAGTGTAACACAATTTCCAATTTTTTTAAGTAACAAAAAGTTATTTATTAAATACAGTAAAGATATGACAAATGAACACAAAAGCGACAATCAAATACCAAAAGAGGAACGAAACAGAACACAAAACCAAGTGCGCTCAACCCAACAGACGATACAAGGCAGTTTAAACCACCAAAAACCAAAACATTTATTCCAAACAGTCAAGATTAAAGTCTACTGCCTCAGCACACTGTCAAACTGCAGTTTCCAAATTGACGCACAGGCATGAGAACAATGTGCCCCCCAGATCCTGGACTCCTGGCTCTTCAAAGCCTGGATGTGGCTCCTCCTGGTTGGCAGGTTTCTGTAGGGGAACTGAGCTGTATTCCAAAGCATGCTTTGGAAAACACAGAGAGGAAATCAACCCTAAATACTAATACTTTTTTAAAGTAATCATTCTCGTTAAAAATGTACTGGAGGATCTGACAGCATGGTCAATTTTTCTTTGTTTCCACCCCAAATAGACCATTTACCAGCCTGGTGAATAAATCATTTCAGCCCATACCTTTTTAGCTGCATCTTTGGGGGGAAAATGCCCTAGATAACACAGCTTGATGACATAAAAATTGACGACTTTATTCCCCCCCAAAAAAATAGTGTAAACTCGAAAAGCCAACGCCCAAAGAAGAGCTTTGAAATGTCTCTTGTGGGTTACTGTTAATGCTAATCTAGGTAAAATTAGGTCACATCACATATTGTGGATGACTATTAATGATAATCTAGGTACAGTTAGGTCTTAAAGTTAGGCTCTAAAGCTGATTAGAACTGTATCTCAGGTCATGCGTTTCTATAATTGTTGGGAAGAACGGACTTTTAATGTTAATTCTTTCTCACATCCAGCATTTGTTCATCTAAACAAAGCTGAAATGTGTGTCCGCGTGGAGCAGCGCGCTGATAGTGGGTCAGTTACACACTGTTTGGCCTCTGTGGCTCTGAGGCGTCATCAGGGTCCAACGTTCATCCTGTGGTAGTGCTGCCTGTCAGCCAAGTTACGGAGAGTTTGGCCAACGGATTTACGTCTGCACACAAAAAAATGAATCTCTCTGTAGAAAACCACAGCGTTCCTCTGAGTGACGGCCACCACATTCCGCTTTTGGGATTGGGCACCTATGGAGACCCCCGAACGGTGAGTGGAATGAAGCCTCTGTGTTTACGCCGTGAAGTGGAACTGTGTAACACGTGCGCATGTGAGGGTCTTTTTGCGTAATAGTACTACGCAAGTACTTTAGTATGTAAAGTATGTATAAGGAAAAAAAAGGTCATCAGGGTTTTCAAACTCTTATTTTCTACATTTAGGTCGTTTTCTTCGCATTTAGGTCATTTCTCCCACATTTAGCTTATTTCATTTAATTTTCTCCACATTTAACCCATTTTACACACATTTGAGACATTCAGAAATTCTGTTTGCATCTGAACTAGAGTCAAACTTTGAATCTAAATCTAAATCGCCCACTCTTCCGTGGTGTGGGCGTGGTTGTGGATTTGGAAAGCCTTTAAAGGCCATCGAAAGGGGCGTGTTTTCTAAATACTCAAACGCTTAGTGACCCATTTACGTTTAGAATAACAATTAGATTTAGATTTGATATTTATATTTTGGTTTAACATTTACTAGATTTAAGATTTGATTTTATTCACATATAACCACATTTCTAAAAGTCTCAGATGTATGTAAATGAGCTGAATGTGAACAAAATGAACTGAAATTAGCGAAATGCGGAGAAAATGACCTAAATCTGGAAAGTATACTAGTATGAAAATGTGAGCAGCTTTTTTTCATATTTGGGAGCTTATTTTAAAGGATGGTCCTTTGCTACAGTCCATGGATCAGCAGAATGGGTCCACATACAAATGTTGATGGCTTTTTAAGGCGTATTTAACCAGCAGAACTTTTTTTTCATGAAAAGGTGTTTTTTTGCATGTATAGAACTTCATTTTCAGGTCATATGCTTTTTACAACTTTGTGTTTTTGTACTAGACACCCAGAGGTACAGCGCAAGAGTGTGTCAAACTGGCCATAGATGTGGGTTACAGGCACTTTGATGGTGCTCTGGTGTATTTCAATGAGCACGAGGTGGGCCAAGCCATCAGAGAGAAGATTGCAGAAGGAACCGTCAAAAGAGAGGAAATCTTTTACTGTGGGAAGGTAATGCTCTCAATGCTTTCAGTGTCATTTGTCACTGTTTGTTTCCAATGGCTTTCCTTTTAAAATGCACTCTAATTAGCATTCTGTTATGTTCCTCAGCTCTGGAATACCTTCCATCCTCCTGAGTTGGTGAGACCAGCCCTGGAGAGGTCTCTGAAAGCCTTGAAACTGGATTATGTGGACCTCTACATTGTTGAGCTTCCCATGGCCTTCAAGGTGTCTACAGTCCTCTAAAATAGGAGCAGTTAACTTATCCTAACTCGATTATATCTACTGAGAACACAGCATTACATTTAAAGATAAAACTTACAACAGACTTTACAAATTGGACTCTCCTTGACACAAATTGCAATAGTTAAGTGGAGGCCAGTAGTTATTCAACACAACAGTAGCCAGGGCAGGTGAATGGGTGACAAATGCTAAAGCCGAGTATTGACCCTTGTTTATGTTTTAGCCTGGAAATGAGTTTTACCCTAAAGACCAAGATGGAAAGTACATCTACCACCACACAGACCTCTGCGCAACGTGGGAGGTGAGTGCCCCTGATATCCCAGAGGTGTGTCCTAATGCCTCATTTTGGCTTCACACAGGCTTCGTTAGAGCCGGACTTATTGAGTAAAAAAGCTGTTAGAAGCAAAGGAAAAATTATTGTAAGCTAAATTCAAAGGGATATGAAGATTTTTTTTTAAATTTCATGACAAAGAATTCAACACAACTAGCAACAACATCCCAACAAACTGTCAATCGGCTCAACCTCTAACACTAAATGTTTTTTCTCAGTCGCCTGAGAATATATGTTTATTTTTTCATCTTCATCACGGTTTCAAATGAACTCAACTGTCTCAAAATGTCTTAAAGGATCACTGCTGTCAGTCAATGAAAAATTGTGAATCTTCTCCTGTCCACAGGCTTTAGAGGCCTGCAAAGATGCCGGGCTGGTCCGGTCCCTGGGAGTTTCTAACTTCAACCGCAGGCAGCTGGAGCTGCTACTGAATAAACCCGGCCTGAAACACAAACCAGTGTCCAACCAGGTGACACCTCCCACCCCAGTAACAGGAAAGATTTTTTAAATATACTTCAGTAACTGCAATTTTGTATGAGGAATGAACTCCTTGTGACAAAACAACAAGGATTAGGTGAAAAATGGACTGTCTTTCTCTTAAAACGCATTAGAATGTGGACTGTGCATCTACTGTTTGATGCACTGAGCCATTTGTCTTCATGCTCGCTCTTCTCGCCTCCCTGTTAGGTGGAATGCCATCCATATTTCACACAGCCCAAGCTTCTGGAGTTCTGTCGGCAGCACGACATCGTGATTGTTGGCTACTGCCCGCTCGGCTCCTCCAGGGATGCTTCTTGGTGTGTAGTTTTCTGCGGTTGTGCGCTTTTCAAGGTCTCGGGCCTCTGTGGGAAATCTTTGAAGTGAAAAGGGCCGATGCGGTCAAATGTTTTCCATTCTCTGCGGTGTGGATTTGAAAATAGAAAAAGTTTCCCTTAAAATTGTATTTGACATCAGTAAGTAGATGGTAACCGTCCCCCTAAATCTGATCTAAACAAAATAAAGAAAAGTTTGATGTGTGTGTAATGTAAGATTGAAGCATCACTGTCACATTTGGGGTAAGTAGAAATGCTAACTTTGAGAAAATCCGCCTACCTTTCCTGGGTTTTATTCAACTGTGACTCTTTCAGGGTGAATCTGAAGTCTCCTCCCATGCTGGAGGATGAGTTACTGGTGTCCATTGGGAAGAAGTACAACAAGAGTAGTGCTCAGGTAGCCCTACGCTTCAACGTCCAAAGAGGAGTGGTAGTGATCCCAAAGAGCTTCAGCCTGGAGAGGATCACACACAACTTCCAGGTAGTCGGGCTTTTTAGTTGTGTAGGCTTCGCTTTATGGTGCTAAACTTTCTCACTTTGACTGAATCATTACTTTTGTCATTCCAGATATTTGATTTTTCACTCACCCAGGATGAAATGAGGGCCATCGAAGCGCTGAACAAAAACACCCGCTTCGTGGAGTTGCTGATGTACGCACAAAAATATATTTGATTGGTTGTGTTGTTTTGGGTGAATCATTTTTTTTTATGTCAAATTGAAATAACACCTTTTTAAACTTTTGTTTTGTACACAGGTGGAGCGATCATCCTGAGTATCCCTTTCACGATGACTATTGATCTTTTCTGTGATGGCGTCTATGTTTAATACTTGAGAATTCTCCCAATAAAAGAAGGGCCATAACGGAGGAACCCTTTCTTGACTCTTTCTCTCATTATTATGTTTTAATTCACCGATGCCACAGGTTTTCACTCTCAACACCAGATGGCTCTTTTTCACAGGGAATGTAAGGGACAAAATCCAGGGGGGGCCCATCCAGTGTTTGTACTTTTCTATCTAATAACTGCTTTCTACTATTCAGGGTCGCATGAGGGAGCTGGATCCCTTTCCCAGACTGTCAAACCTCTTAAAAAAAGAAAGTGCATTCTTGACACATGACATCACAGATTTCCTAAAATGCTAATGAGTTTAGTCCGAGTTTAGACAGAAAAGGTTGACGCTTGCTCGGACAGTAATGACAGTAACTCTGCCCGTAAAGAGTGGGCGGCTGTTTGCTTTTGTGGATATTTTTTTTTTTTAGAGGCATGAAGGCCCCAGCCAGGCCTCTGAGGAAGAATTTCAGTGTTTTCCTGGGAGATATACACTATATTGCCAAAAGTATTTGCTCACCTGCCTTGACTCACATATGAGCTTAAGTGACATCCCGTTCCTAATCCATAGGGTTCAATATGACGTCGGTCCACCCTTTGCAGCTAGAAAAGCTTCAACTCTTCTGGGAAGGCTGTCCACAAGGTTTAGGAGTGTGTTTATGGGAATTTTTGACCATTCTTCCAGAAGCGCATTTGTGAGGTCGCACACTGATGTTGGACGAGAAGGCCTGGCTCTCAGTCTCCACTCTAATTCATCCCAAAGGTGTTCTATCGGGTTGAGGTCAGGACTCTGTGCAGGCCAGTCAAGTTCATCCACACCAGACTCTGTCATCCATGTCTTTATGGACCTTGCTTTGTGCACTGGTGCACAGTCATGTTGGAAGAGGAAGGGGCCAGCTCCAAACTGTTCCCACAAAGTTGGGAGCATGGAATTGTCCAAAATGTCTTGGTATGCTGAAGCATTCAGAGTTCCTTTCACTGGAACTAAGGGGCCAAGCCCAGCTCCTGAAAAACAACCCCACACCATAATCCCCCCTCCACCAAACTTTACACTTGGCACAATGCAGTCAGACAAGTACCGTTCTCCTGGCAACCGCCAAACCCAGACCCGTCCATCAGATTGCCAGATGGAGAAGCGCGATTCGTCACTCCAGAGAACGCGTCTCCACTGCTCTAGAGTCCAGTGGCGGCGTGCTTTACACCACCGCATCCGACGCTTTGCATTGCACTTGGTGATGTATGGCTTGGATGCAGCTGCTCGACCATGGAAACCCATTCCATGAAGCTCTCTGCGCACTGTTCTTGAGCTAATCTGAAGGCCACATGAAGTTTGGAGGTCTGTAGTGATTGACTCTGCAGAAAGTTGGCGACCTCTTCGCACTATGCGCGTCAGCATCCGCTGACCCCGCTCCGTCAGTTTACGTGGCCTACCACTTCGTGGCTGAGTTGCTGTCGTTCCCAAACACTTCCATTTTCTTATAATACAGCTGACAGTTGACTGTGGAATATTTAGGAGCGAGGAAATTTCACGACTGGATTTGTTGCACAGGTGGCATCCTATCACAGTTCCACGCTGGAATTCACTGAGCTCCTGAGAGCGACCCATTCTTTCACAAATGTTTGTAAAAACAGTCTGCATGCCTAGGTGCTTGAATTTATACACCTGTGGCCATGGAAGTGATTGGAACACCTGATTCCGATAATTTGGATGGGTGAGCAAATACTTTTGGCAATATAGTGTATTTGCATTAATGCCCTTTTTCTTTTTATAAACTGAAGGGACCTGATAGAAATGTACTTGGATGATTAGTTAGGAATCTAAAAAAATTTGAAGTTTCTCAAGCAACTTTTTAAAATTTGTTTTTTGTAACAGTTTGGGTTTTACTAATTGTTCTATTACTTCTTTTGTTGCGCATAAAAATAACCCGGCCCCTTGGTGTAAACTTGTTTTGCGAAATGTTTGTGAGGTGTGGATATTGTCAACCCTTTATGTGCAGCTGTTAATTCCTCTGGGTGCATTTCCTTTGCCCCTCGCAGCTTTGAGTGGGAACCATCGGTTAGACTTTGGCATCAGCTGGCCAGTGACCCGTGAGGTCTGCGGGTTCGGTCAGAGAGGGTGTACTTGACCAGATCTGTCTCTGTACTGTTGACACAGAGTGTAATCGTCATGTACATACGTGACAGGTATGCACCTTGCCAGTTTTTGCCCCGGGTTGTGTAACGATTCTGCTTTGGACCCAAGAACACCCTGAGGCAGACGGTCAGTTAACAGGATTTATTCAGAGGAACAGCGGTAAATCCAAGGGAGTCCAGAAACAGTCCAGGGTCAAAACAAGGGAGGCAGTCCAAGGGAGCAGGCGGGGTCTCGAGGTCGGAAGCAGGCGGGGTCATACACGGGCAGGCAGTCAGGATCAGGCAAAGGTACAAACGAGGGACAGGCAGGCTTCGAAGACAGGTAGACGGAAGGCAGGTCGGATATCAGGCAGACAGGATAATATAATGCTGGAAGTACTTACTCTAAGGCTCGATACGTTCTGGCACGGAGACTGGCATGAGCAGAGTATATATGGAGGTGGAAACAGGTGCAGGCGATGAGGGTGATTATGGATTGAGGATGCTGAGCAGGTGTGCAGACGGGGTGGAGCCAGCTCCAGTGCCAGGAACGTTACAGAGCCCCCCCCTCAAGGGCGGATTCCAGACGCCCTAGGCTGGTCTGGGTGGGCTCTGTGGAAGTCCCGGATGAGGGACCTGTCCAGGATACGACTGGAGGGGACCCACTGGCGTTCCTCCGGCCCGTAGCCCTCCCAGTCAATAAGGTACTGGGTTCCCCTGCCCCACTTACGAGATCTCAGGATCCTCCGCACGGTGTAGGCAGGGGAGCCGTCAACAAGCCGGGCGGGCGGCGGGGTCGCGGAGGCGGGAACCAACCTGGAGGACCTGACAGGCTTAACACGGGAGATGTGGAACGTTGGGTGGACTTTCATGGATGGGGGTAATCGCAGGCGGACTGCCACTGGGTTAATAATCCTCTCG